AAATAAACTATGGAAAAAATGATTTTAAAAAAAAAAAAAACGGAAATAATTTAAAATTTCACGTTGGGTGCTCGATTTAAATTGTTTTTGTCGAAACGACCCGCATATGAAAACGCGAGATGAAGAAGAATTTTTTTTTTTATTCGTGTATACCTGCTACCTAATTATTATTATCATTTTTATTTTCTATTATAAAATCAACATAAGCCATTTTCCCGAAGGTGTTATTGTTTTCGTATTAAACAAAGGTTTTTTTATACTCTATAATTTTTTACTTACCGCTCTCTCGCTTCTTGATTCTCCGCCATTTTTCTTTCTTCTTCTTCTTTCTTGATTTATATGCATATAAAAATATTTTCACGCACGGAAAAATTCTTCGATTCTTTGCAATTTTTTTTTCGCGGGTTTTTTTATTTTATAAACCTGAAATTTAAATTTTATATATTAATAATCGATCAATCAACAGATTTTTTTTTTTTACGAAAAGAAAAACAAACCGCGAAAACATTTGTAACAAAAACAGTAATCTTTTTTTTTTTTATTATTAATTTTTAAAAAAAAAAAGTACATAAAAATTTTATGCACACGCACACGCACACACAGACAAAAAAAAGTAAAAAAAGACAGAAGTTTAAACCTTTCCCTTAATATGTTTTGCCGGCTACATAAAAAAAAAAAAAATTTTTTTTTTATGTTGTGATATAACAAGTGGGGTTCATGATAAAAGAAAAAGTTATGAAAAAAAAAAAAAAAAACGTGTCTGTCCAATATAACCTAATTTTTTTTTATTCGATTTTAAAAACCACTTCAAAAGAACGTCGGCTGCTTTTAAACATCCGAAAAAGAAAATATAAATAAATAAATAAATAAAAGTTTTCGGTTTTTTTTTTTCTTAAAAAAATTTTTCGACGGTTAAAACTACAAGAAAAAAAAATTTTTTAAATAAATAATCGATCGATATATCGTTACCAATCGATTTTTTTTTTTTTAAATATAATTATATTTATGAAAGAAGCAGAAGAAATATAAAAAGCAGAAGAAGTAGAAGAATCAGAAGTAGAAGCAGAATAAGTAGAAGAAGCAGAAGAAGAAGGAAAAGCAGAAGAAGAAATAAAAGCAGAAGAAATAGAAGCAGAAGAAGTAGAAGCAGAAGAAGAAGCAGAAAAAGCAGAAGAAATTGAAGCAGAAGATATTTTGTTTTTACCTTTTTTTTTCTTTCTTTTTTTATTACCATTAATAGATTTACCAAAAAAAAAAAAAATACTTGAAGACACTCAACAACGTTAATATAAGTTTCTACTTATCAATGACTGTTTAAATTTTTAAACAAAAACCAGACGACGGATTTTTTTTTCTTTTTTTTTTTTTTATGATTAAATTTACAAGTTAATAAATTTTTTTTTTTTAAATAAATATAAACATAAAAAACAACAACAGACATTTTTTTAAAAAGAAAACAATGAAAAAGAAAAAGAAAAGGAAAGAAAAGAAAAGAAAAAAAAGTAAAATTTTTTTTTTTTAAACCGGAAATAAAAACTATTGGGGTCGTGATGAAATTTAACGACATAAAATATTCGCGCCAATTTCAAACGAATTTAAATTTTTTCAATAAGTAAATTTAGCCGTCTCGCTATTTATTAAATAAATAAATAATAATAATTTTATTGAAATTATTTATACGTGGCACGAGAAATTTTAAGAAAAAAAAGGGTTGTTTAAAATTGTTCATATTTTTATGTAGAAAAAAAATTCGTGGCGCTAACAAATCAATAAAAATAAAAAAAAGAATTTTTTTTTTTTTGTTAACCCTTGACACCCATTAAAAAGTAAATTAAAATTAATTTTTATAAAATTTTTTTTAACCCTTATTTCCACGTTTGATTTTTTTTTTTTTTTCGGTAAATATTATCAACCACTTGAGAAAAAGAGGCCTTTTGTTATTTTTTAATTACCTTACAAAATTTAATATACCTTTTTTTTTTTTTTCAAAGGCGCCAACCGGTGAATTTTTTCGGTTTCTGGTTTTTTTTTTTTTTTTTTTTTTTTTGTAAATCCACTTGTACGATAATAAAAAAGTTATTTATGTCATTATTATTATTATTATTTTAATTATTTCAGGAGACACGTTAATCATTTTTTTTTCCTTTATGGTAGTTCCATCATAATAATCAAGTCGTAAAGTGTTTTTTTTTCTTCTTTTTCTTTTTCATACTAATTTTTTTCCTAAAAAAAAAAAAATTTATTATTATTATCAGACGTTATGCATCAGACGAAAAAATATTGTCTGGTGTCGTCGTCGTAAGGGTAAAAAAAAAAAAAAAAAAATTAAATTAAATTGATTCGGAGACTTGAAAATGTAAAAATTTAATTGATGGCATGTTTTTTTTTCGGTAACTTTTTTTTTTTTTATTTTTAAATTGATCGACGATGATAATTGTTAATGCGTTGTTTTTGATTTCTTACAAAGATTATTATTATTATTATTATTTATGTTTTACGCGGGCGAAATCGTATAGAATAAATCCACCAAAAAAAAAAAATTTTAATGATAAAAATAAATAAAAACTTTAAAAAATTACTTGTGAGAGTTTATCCGGTATATGTGGTGGTACACTTTTATTTAATTTCCCCTCTCTCTACCCCTTCTTTTTTCTTACAAAAATATTCTCTTATCATTCATTCAGAACTTTAAATTATTATTATTATTTTACGTAAATATAAAAATGAAAAAAAAAAAATTTTTTGAAATATTAAAAAACGAATAACGCCTAAAAATTGTAATATAGGCAAATTGTCAAACATATTTATTATAAAATTTTATTAAGTTTTTGCGAAAGACATTTTTTGTTTGTTTTTTTTTTTTTTTTTTCGAAAAAGTTTTTGTTTAACAAATAGCAACATCGTCTCAATCGATTATATTATTAAATTTTAATATTTCTACGTTTGAAAAAATGTTTTTTATGTTTCGTTATAACAAAATGTTAAAAGAAAACTAAAAAAAAGGGGAAGGCCCGAATATTTTGTCATAAAAATTAAATAAATAAAATTAAATAAATTTTTTCTGAGAAAAAAAAATTATTAAGATCATAAATTTTTATCAAATGCATACACGTGTATACATATATTTTATTAAAAAAAAAAAAAATTTTCCCTCCCCCCCTTCCCCTCCCCCAAACTGCGTACGAAACCTTTTTAAAACTGCTGACTAAAAATGAAATCTTTCAATGGTTATATAAACCTTTGGATTTAAGTATCGCTCTGACAATTTCAAGAAGTAAATTTATAGTAGCGTAAACCTTAAATGTAAACTTATCTTAAAAGAAAGAAAAAAAGAGAAGGAAAAAAAAAGAAGAAGGAGAAAGAGAAGGAGAAGGAAAAGATAGAAAAAATAAATGAAAAAAAATAAAAGGAAAAAGGTTTATTAGTCACCGAGCTTAACTTTATGATGAAAACTTGTCAGCCATAAGAAGTTTAGTCGTAAAAATAATTTCTAAATTTGTTTTACCCCGCAAGCAATTCAACAATAATAATAATAATAACAATAATAAAATGGAATGAGAAAAGATAGAAATCCAAAAATAAAAAAGGAAAAAAGAAAAGGAGAGGAGGGACGGGGCAAAAGGGAGAAGAGAGTAAAAGAAAAGTTAAAAGAAAATAAAATAAGGAAACAAAAAAAAAGAGGAAAAACAGAGAGAGAGAGAGAGAGAAAAAGAAGAAAAAAAAATTTTCAAAGTGAATCAAATAGTCAGTAAAGTTAAAGGAAATCACAACTTTTCAAATAAGAGAGAGAGAAAGAGAGAGAGATCATTGATAATGCGAATTAGGAGAGCACAGTTCAAAAGGGGGTTAATCTGGGGTAAATTGGGGTTATTTACAAAAGTAAAATAGAAACAATTGGGGAAGAAACTGACAAGACAATTCACTGAGTGCAACTGTTATTGCTAATTTCATAGGGATTATGTCTCTTTCTCTCTCTCTCTTTTTTCCTTTTCTTTTTTTTTTTTTTAAACGCCAAGGGTAAAATAGAGGGGTAAATTTTACTTCAATTTTCCTAACTAGTAGTCATTTTTCCACTCGTGACGTTTTAGACACTCAATAAATAAAAAATTGACTTTTATATAAGAAAAACATGAAAATTTTAAATTTCTCTCTCTCACTCTCTCACTCTCTCTCTTCATCCCCTTTTTCAATGAAATCCTTTTGTAAATAACAATTTCCTAAAATAGAAAAAAAAAAAAAAAAGAAAACAATTTTTTTTTTTTTCTTAAATCCACTAATTTTCGTAAAAACTAATTTTAAAATAATAAACCAATCGAAACCATTTTTCTTTTTAAATTAATAATAATAATAATAACAACAGAAAACAAATAATTAAAATTTTATGCAACAAAATCGTGGAACTTTGTTTTATATTATTATTATTATTATGAATGTAAAAAAATAATATTTTAAAAAAAACATGAATTATTCTTGTTTTTCATCCCCCCAAAAAGAAAAATTTTCCTTTTTCCATTTTTAGGGACAATAAAGCAATTTGCCTAATTCTCTTATAATCAATATTGCATGAAATTAGGTTTCCCTGTTTTTCACATTTCTTCATTTCTTTTCTAACCACTTCGGTTCAGTGAATTTAAGAAGGGAGGGGGTGAAATTATTACATCAATTTATAATTTACTTTTTTTCCTTTTCCTTTTTTTTTGTAAAAATTATTATTGCGTTACGAAATCTTGTTAACGATATAAAATTTATGGCAGACAAATAAATAAATAAATAAAAGAATCGACGTTGTAAAATTTGTTCATCATTTCACACAAACTAAAATTAACAATTTTTTTTTTTTTGTAATATAATAAATATTCGATACGGTAGAAAATAATTCCATAAATAAATTTTATTAATTAAAAAGAAGAAAAAGAAAAAGAAGAAGAAACAACATTTTTTTTTTTTTTTTTTACCTCACCATGGTGATTCGTTATTTTTCTCTCAATGGTCTCTTTTCTTTATACGCTTTCTTTGATGCCAGTTTCAACTTTTTGAATAATCGGAGAAATTTGCTTTCTAGACATTCTGATATTGGATTGACTAAAAAGTCTCAAATATTTTATTTTGTGGTCTGTTATTTCTTTCAATCCTAATGAGGGATTGTCAAAATTTAATAACGCCTCAACGATTTTATCAGAAAATATGTGTTGGGTAGAAAAAACGGCCAAATCTTTATCGACTGTATCTCCATTTATTTTAACTCCCATCATCATCATCACCGATGAGTGATTTCTAGTTTTCAAAAAGTTAAGTAATATTTCTTCAACATAGGGCCTTTTCAAAAAATCTTCAACAAGCATTGGTAATCCACATACTGGTATCCCTTCGATTATTTTCATATCCTTTCTAAGTATTTGCGATTCTGAGAGTCCTACAACTTGAGTTTTAGCATATATTAAATCTTGAAATAATCTATTTCTATCTACAGATATTTTTCTTTCCAATGATGATATCACTTGTCTGTCAGAATCTGTTGTTTTACCAGCTTCTGGAGAAAAATTGAATGTGTCTAATAAAATCGGTCCTAAAATTAAATAAAAAAATTATTTGGTTTTTTTAAATGAATTTTGAAATGTCATCGAATTCGCATTAAAATTAATACTCAAATATTTTACCATATAAAAGGTGACAAATTTGAAATGTTAACAGGTGAGGGCTTCTTTGAAGAATTTTTTTAGCAATAAGGGTGCAACAGGAACCAACAGGTTCAATAGTTACATCAATGTTACTCGTATTCAAATCAGGAACAACAGGTCTATGATCGATTATCTCGACAACAGACGAGGAAAGTTCTTGATCGGCAGGACTTAAAGTTTGATGATCGACCAATGTAAGATCAAGAACTCCAGCTTTTTGTAACTTTATTAAATTAAAATTTTCCCTAAAAACAAAAATATTTTAACAATCGCTATGAATATTTTAAGTACATACATTTAACACATATTTATAACTTTTAAATAACCTTATTTCATTCACTTACTTGTTTACTTTTGTCAATACATTATCTAATGAAATGGCGTGGAGTCTTAAATAAAAAATAACTTCTGTCTTGAGAAGTAAATCTTCGTGAGAAACATTAAGGATGGGTAAAACTTCGCAATTACGAACTCCTTTCTGTTTATTTTCGTGAAATGTTATGTAAGCATAAACCAACGCCGATATAGCAGAATCCAAATCGCACGATTCATTTCCTAATATAACTTTAACTTTATTATAATAACATGGATTCTGTAACAAGTTTCGGTATACTTTGTGGCACTCTTGCAAATATTTATTCATATTGGTTTCTGATTAAAATAATTTTACTAATACTAAGTAATTTTAACATTAAACATTATTGAGGCATTATACAAAAATTAATTTGGGTTTAGCAAAGCTGATTTATACAATGTTTTTATAAACTTTAAAAAAAGAATTACTTTAAATTTAAAGCAAAACATGTGAAGAAAAAAAAACACGTTATTTATTTTTTTTTGTTTTTCATTAATCTGTTGCCACGTTTGAATTGTAATTTTTTTCATTTTTTTTTTTTTTATAAAATTATGTTTTTTTTTAAATTTCCTTTAATTAGTGTACATTTGATTATTTAATAATAATGGGTGACTTTAATGCATTTACACCAACCAAAGCTAAAGGTAATATTGAGTCGGTAGTCAAATTTTGGCAGATATATTGAAAAAACATGAGGTCATAACCCCATGTTAAGAGTTTACATTTGCAATTTTTTTTTTTTTTTTTTGGATTTCAGCTATATTGACTGAAATGATAGAAGCAATTAATATACCGGAAAATGCATCTAAACTGGAACAAGCTAAAACAAATGCTGGAAACGACATGATCAAAATGATGCAATTTGTTTTTCCAATAATGGTTCAAATTCAAATGGAAGTTATTAAAAAATATGGTTTTCCCGATGGCAGAGATGGAATGGTTCAGTTTTTACAACTTATAAGGAATATTGAAAGAGAAAATAAAGAAGTGGCTGAACTTCATGGACAAATAAAAACTCATTTAATGCCACCAGTAAATTTAAATACTGAGGCATCGCTTTAAATCAATTTTTTTTTTTTTTTTTACTTACAATCGTGTAAAAATTTATATAATTTATAATTTTTATTTACAAAACTAATTTATTTTTTCTTATATAATTTATTCATATTAACAATTATTATGTAAATATATACAAGTTTTAATTTATTTACAATTTTTTGATCAAGATTATGTGTTGCCATTATGACAAATTTTTTTTATAATTAACCTTAATAAAGGAATTTTTTTTATTTATTTATATTTAACAAAATTGGCCGATTGTTATTTACATGTTATTCCCATATTTTTCACATTCCATATTGAAAAATATTTTCCATTCCATCATTTATAAATTTATTAATAAGTCAACAATGTTTATATATCAGTACAATTATTTAATTCAAAAGTTTCCCGATATATATAATTATTTAAAAACCTTATTAAAGTTTCTTTTATAAAATCTATACATCATACATAATGCGATTAATCCTAATGTCTTATTATCATCCCAATAATTTACATTCCCTTTGACAATAAATAAACCAAAGAATAAAAATAAATATTTGTACTGTTTAAAAATTAATTATTTTTATAATTTGATTTAAATAATACTTGAAATAGTTAATAATTAAACGTTACTTTACTGCACATAACCTTATGTAGGCACTTTTTTATTAATCTCAATAATTATGCTTTAATTAAAAATTTGAATTATTTTCAATGCCCCAATTTTTTTTTTTTTTTTTTTTTACTATAAATTAGTAAATAATTTTTTATATATTTATGAATTGGCAAATAAATATACTATTATTATTATTATTATTTTTTTTTTTTTTTTTTAAGAATCGAAAATTCCGACAGCAAGCATTAAATTCCTTCTGGTAAAATGTAAAGATAAAATCGGCGAACTTTTTGTCGCGTAGGAACGTAGTAAATAATTTTCGCTATTGTTCTTAATGTCTGGATTATGAGAAACGTTTACATCCTCCAGACTAATTTCTTCCCCCAATTTTGTAAAATCCCAAATTTTTACAGTGCAATCTAAAGAACCTAAAGTGAAGAAAAAAAAAAATTATTATACCGTGCCGATAAAAACAAGGTGAATTCGAAAAGGTTTCGATCGTACCTGAAGTTAAAAGATTTCCATCGCGACTAAAACAGAGAGCGTATATGGTACTTGAATGACCGGATAAAGATGCTAATAAATGTCCATGTGCTAAATCCCAAAGCATAATTTTAAAATCACTTCCAGCCGATGCCAGAAATCGTCCCTCAACCGAAAATGCTAACGAATAAATTTGACCTTTGTGACCGGTCATTAATCTAACCTGGGTTCCAGTAACATTATCCCATAACCTTACGGTTCGATCACTTGATCCGGTGGCAATGTAATTTGAATTTGGATGAAATTGAACACACTGTAAAAACAAATGTCACCCTCACATTGAAATTAAAAAAAACTGAATATGAATCAATTTAGCCTTTTAAACTTTTTTCACTATCGGCTTACATCGACATCAGAAAAATGACCGGTAAATATTCTTAAAGGCTGGTGTTGATCCGTCACCCAGAGTCTGGCAGTTCTGTCATGACTAGCAGATGCAAAATAGTAACCGTGAGGAGAAAATTTGACATCCCAAATGGGAAATGTATGACCTTTATAACTTACTAGGCACGTCCATAACTGTAAACTCCATAATCGAACTGAATAAAAAACAAACAACAGTTTTTTTATGTTAATTACTTAATTATTAAAAATAAAAAATAAATAAATAAACAGGATAAGAAAAAAAAGATCATACTTGTTGCATCTTCTGAACACGACAATAAAAGAGTTCTGTCAGGACTAAAAGAAAGTTTGTACACCGGTCCACTGTGTCCGCATAAAGACCTGACATTCGTTGATTTGTCGTCCATCATTCTAACTAAAACATCATCTGTAAAACATTACAATATTTAAATTTATAAATAATAAAATATAAATTTTATTGTAGGTAACAAAATGCCATTTGCATTTATATAAACTAAATAAATATAACAAGTTACATTACCAGCTTCTCTGTCTATATCTTGTAAAGCTTCTGCCGATTTCATGGCTTTTAATTTTTGAGGAGTTAAACTCCAAATTTTTATTATCGAATCAGTAAAACCAACACCGAGCAAACTTGAATCTTCACATATTTCTGCACATGTAACTGTAGAATTTGCATTCAATAAAGTATACATACACACAGATGGTAAGGCATCTGGACCTAATGTAACTCTTTTCGATGCTTCCCTAAGAGCTTTTATTTTTTCAAGTTTGTCAGCATCTTTCCTATAATTAAATTAATAAATAGTTTCTTACAAAAGTAAAATTTTAAAATTTACTAAATAAAAGTTATTACATACAATTCAGGTAATGGCATTCTATCTAATGGTGGTGCATTTGGATCGGTTTTAGTTTTTTTTGAAAAAAGAGGATCTTTTTTACTTTTTTTCTTTTTCGGTTTATCACCATCTCCACTTTCACCTTCAACTTCCTCCTCTTCTGCAGGAATAAATTGAAGATCTGGTTCCTTTAGCAAACCATAATAAACCTTGGCTTTATTATCTTGCCTGGTAGCCTCTCCGACAACTGCTCCAGCAGTCGCATCTATTTGTGCTTTGTTTCGAGCAACTCCTTCATACATATCAAAATATAAATGCTCTTGAATAATATTAAGTACTACACTGTGCTTTTTTTCTAATAAATGTCTTTTAAGAAGTGATAATGTATCTCTAGACATTCTAATAATAAATTCACTTGATCTGAAATTTATGAAATAACAAAATTAAAATTAATTGCCTTGTTTTTTTTGAAACTAAATGACAAGGTTAGTTACAAAATAGCAAAATTTAGTTTTCTAAAATTAAGTTTTGCAAATTATCTTACTTAAAAGTATCGGTTAATTCGTTTCCCTTCATTTGATCTTTTTTAGTTACATATGACAATTTTCTTAAATCATCTTGATAATAATCTTCTTGATCACATTTGAATCTATTCATAAATTTAATAGCTTCATCTTCGTGATTATTATAAACAAGCTCTAAATACATATGTACAAATACTGGATACAATATAGTTCCTAATTCATGCTTATATATATCTAGAGAATTTTCTATGAAATTTTTTAAGTCCACATAAACACTTTCATAAATTTTTGGATCTCCTTCGCTTTTATACGCTGATAAAACACTACTAACTTCAGATTCATTTTGACCAAGTTCATGGGTACCCGGTACCGTGAGATCAATGTTAGTTTCTTTTTTCAATATATCTTCGGTTGCCTATAAAAAATTTCAAAATTACTTCAGAAAATTATTGTACTGCTCAAAAATAAATTAAATAATGCTCACTCAAAACGCTTTGGCAAAAAAAAGCCGGGAGCATCACATGTAAACAAACAAATTTTTACGCAATATACTAACCTTTAAATTGTACTTTCTAAGTAATTGTAATAAAGCTAAAATGGTAGCTTTGTCAGGTTTATCTGGAAGCTGCTCTTCCGGATTTACTTGATTCATAATGAATAAGTTAATCAAAAAAAAATCAAATAAATAAATAAAAACATTTATAAGATGTGTGTGTTTAAGTTTTGTGAAGTCAGTACTTGAAATCGTAATTTCCCTGCACTAAAAGTGTCAATAGCCAACATTTATGTTATCAACGTACATCCATTTTTTGAATTCAGTTTACTTTTTGTACGTTGTTGAACACGTGATTCCGCTACAGCACTTATATTTTTAAAAAAAAATTTTTTTTGTTCATTTTTATAAAAATGGCAGATTTATTGCATTCTCAAAATTCGGTTCTTGTTGACGGTGTATCGGTTTCGGAATTTATTAAAAACGGAGAAGGATTCACGTACAACGACTTCATTATTTTACCAGGTTACATAGACTTTTCGGCTAAAGATGTAGACTTAACTTCTCCTTTTACTAAAAATATCAATCTTAAATTACCGTTGGTATCCTCACCTATGGATACCGTTACCGAATCAGAAATGGCGATAGCAATGGCTTTATGCGGGGGAATCGGAATAATTCATCATAATTGTACCCCCGATAAGCAAGCCAAAGAAGTAATTAAAGTAAAAAAATATAAACAGGGATTTATTAGGAATCCTGTTGTCATGAGCCCTGACAATACAGTAGCGGATGTTTTCAAGGTGAAAAGGGATCAAGGGTTTTGTGGAGTACCAATAACTCATAATGGAAAATTAGGAGGTAAATTGGTTGGTATTGTCACATCAAGAGATGTTGATTTCTTAAATGAAACTCAATCTCATAGCATGAAACTAGAGTCTGTAATGACAAAATTTGAAGATTTAGTGACTGCTAAGGCTGGTGTGACATTAGAACAAGCTAATAAAATATTAGAAAAGTCTAAAAAAGCTAAATTGCCCATTGTCAATGACAATAGTGAATTAGTTGCATTAATGGCAAGAACAGATTTAAAAAAGAATAGAAGTTTTCCAAATGCGAGTAAAGATGAAAACAAACAGTTGCTTGTCGGAGCTGCCATCGGAACAAGAGAGGAAGATTTATACAGGTTAAAAGGCTTAATACAAGCAGGTGTTGATGCTGTTGTTCTTGACTCATCACAAGGAAACTCAGTTTATCAAATAAAAATGATTCATGAAATTAAAAAAGCATATCCTAATTTGCAAGTTGTGGGAGGTAATGTAGTAACTGCTGCCCAAGCCAAAAGTCTTATCGATGCAGGAGTTGATGGATTAAGGGTTGGAATGGGTAGTGGAAGTATTTGCATAACGCAAGAAGTTATGGCTGTGGGCAGAGCTCAAGCTACTGCAGTGCACAAAGTATCAGAATATGCAAGGCTGTACAATGTTCCTGTTGTTGCCGATGGAGGTATTTCATCGACAGGCTCAATAGTCAAAGCCCTGTCACTGGGAGCATCGTCGGTAATGATGGGATCATTATTAGCGGGAACTTCAGAAGCTCCCGGTGAATATTTTTTCTCGGACGGGGTAAGACTTAAAAAATACAGAGGAATGGGTAGCATAGAAGCGATGAACACGAAAGAAAGCTCGGGTTCCGCTTCGAGCAGGTATTTCCACAACGAAATGGATAATTTGAAAGTTGCTCAGGGCGTGAGCGGTGCCATAGTCGACAAAGGATCAGTTTTGAAATATTTACAATATTTACAAACCGGAATGAAACACAGTTTTCAAGACATTGGAGCCAAAAGTGTTACTATTCTTAGAAACATGGCGCAGTCGGGAGTTCTCAGAGTTGAAAAAAGGACTCCGTCAGCTCAGATGGAGGGAAGCGTTCACGGTTTATTTTCCTACGAGAAAATGTTATTTTAATACCAAATATATTATTTTATATTTAATGCAGTAAAAGAAAAAAATAAACAAAAAAAAAGAAAAGAAAAAGGGTTTTTAATATAAAAAAAAAGAAAGAAAAACGTTAACAAATTTTTTTTTTACAATTAAAATTTGTTTATTTATAATCACGATATATATATATATATAAATAATTAGTATATTATTATTATTATTATTAATATTATTTCGGGTAATTTAACGGGGGATTTATCGTTTTTGTGCCTTTGAAAATAATCGTCTTATGTCTCAAAAAATAAAAATAAAAAAAAAAATAAAAATTATTGACGTGTATAAAACAAATTATATATACACACATACTTATATATACATAAATATTTATTTATTTATTAATTAATTGATTAATTGATTGCAATGGGATTTTCTATATATTATTTATTATCTATATATTAACGTTATATTCAAAACTATGACGTAGTAACGTAAATTTTTTCGTATGTTTTTTCCCGCGCGAAAAAAATTTTTTTAAAATTTTTATGAAGAAGAAGAAGAAAATTCAATCAACGTAATTACCAATTTAAAGAATAATTTTATTCTTACGAAAATTTATAATATTATTATTATTATTGTTTTTTAACGAAATAAAAAATCAAGAAAAATTTGATTTTACGAAAAAAAAACAAGTCAATAAATGAAATAAAAAAAATGAAATAATAATAATAATAATAATAATAAATGAAATGGATTTTTTTTATTGATTCGAATTTAAATTGAAATCATTATAAGAAGTGATAATAAATGATGATAAAATTTTTTTTTTTTTTAGTAAAATGTTATTAAAAAATAAATTTTTATGTTAATAACAATATATATATAAATATATAAATATATGATTTTAAATGAAAAATAATTTTCTGTTTTTCTGTTTTTTCCTGTTTTCTTTTTATGAGTATCGATGTCTACGGTTATCATTAATAATGATAATAATAGGGAAAAAAGAATTTAAATGGTTTTGTTTGTTTGTTTGTTTGTTTGTATTCAAGTGGGAAAATAAATAATTAAATAAATAAAAGAAATGCATTTGACCGTGCAAAAAATAACACTAACTAACTAACTAAAGTGTTAAATATTCGAAATGTTAGTGTCAAATGTCACGCGGATTTTTTTTTTTATAAACCGGTCAAAAAAAAAAAAAAAAAAATTATAAAATGTCACGCAGGGGATTAATAATATAATAATATTATTCATGATAAAATTTTTTTTTTTTTTTTTTTTTTTTTATAGGGAAAAAAAATTAATGAAATTCTCATTGACGACGAAAATTTTTAAATGAAAAACTTTTGCAATTTTCCTTTTTTTTTTAATTTATATATTAAATTGCATAAAAATGCATAATAAATTTTTCTTTTTATTAATAAAAATTATTTATGCATTTGCTCAATTTTAAAAAAATTTTTTTTAAAAATAACCGAAATCGGGTCAAAACGACAACTTTACAAAAAAAAAAAAAATTTAAGGATTTTATTACGTAATTTTATATTTATTGATTTTTTTTTTTTAAATCGAAACTTTTGATACGTTTTTTCTTTTTTTTCGAAAACTTTTTCCTTTTTTCCTTTTTTTAAATAATAATAATAATAATAATAATAATAATAATAATAATAATAATAATATAAATAATAATAAACTATGTGGGACGGCCCACATTCTTCGGAAAATACTTTATAAATAGCACTACCGAAATTCGAGTATTTGTCCCTAAGGAATCGGGTAGAAACCTGGGATAAATGCTTAAAAACCCCGACAAATAAGAGCCTTCTTGTCGTGTTTAAGAGTGATAATAATAATAATAATAACACGATAAAATTATACTTTAAGAAATTTAATAAAACTTTTCTAAATAGTAATTAAAAAGCACGAAATGAAAGAAATAAATTTTGACGACGCTTTTCCGCTTTCTCTTTCTCCTCCTCCTCCTCCTTCTCCCTCCCTCCTTTCCCCCATTAAATTAAATTAAATATTTAAAAATTATAACGAATTTTAAAATGATACAAAAGGGCGTTAATTCATTAACAAAACTAATCCTACAGAAATTTTCAAATGGGTGATGAAAAGAAATAAAAAGAAAATCTGGCATTTGAATGGAAAAAAGAAAAAAATTCCAAGGAGAAGAAAAATCTCGAATCGATAAATTTTTTTACTCCCCTCAAAAAAGAAAATGATAATATTTCTAAAAATATTGATGATGATATTGATGATGATGATGATAACGATAATTTTATCTAAAGAATTTTCCTTCTTTTTCTAATAACAAGCTGATTACAATGATTACTTTTTTTTTTTTTTATTCGGCCGCCAATTAAATTTTAATGGTAAAATGTAAATTTTTTTTTTTTATTAAAAGAAAATTAATATCAAAATTTAAAATCATTATTATTATTATTATCACATTTACAAGATAATAATAATAATAATAATAATAATAATAATAATAATAAAATTGCGATTTTTTTTTTCCACGGTCGTCAACCAGTTTCGAATTTTCTTCTTTTTTTTTTTTTTATATAACAAATAAAATGATTTTTGTTTAATTTGTTTCAGGTACACACACAACAGGATGATTTACTTAATTTATTACTAATTAATCACTCGTAATTAAATTTCACGGTCATTTCGTTAAACCAAAAAAAAAATATTACGTAATAAATTCCAGTAAAAAAAAAAAAAATCTTATTCGATTTCGATTATTTTAAAAAAATTTCGTGAGAGAAAAAAGAAAAAAAAGGAAAAATCAGTGAATGTAAAATTTTACCTAAGGTTTAAAAATTGAAATGATTATTTAATTAATTAATCGTACCTGTCATCGTGGCATCAGACATCCCTTTTGACACGTCAGAAAATACTTAAATCCACGTTTTCTTTTTTTTCTACCATCGGGTTCGATCATTTCGGTAAATGTTTTTCCAATAATTTTTTTTTTTTTTTCAATTCAATTAAAGTTTTTTCCTTTGTTTCCTTTTTTTTATGGTTTCCTCTATCCCTCTTAATTACTGCAAATAAAAAAAAAATTAAATTAAATTAAAATTTATCGTGGGAAAAAAAGTGAAAAAAAAAAGGGAAGAGTAGGGATGATGGCGTAATAACATGAGAAATTTTTGAAAACCGTCAACTTTTATACGTTAATAATTTTCATAAGAAATTATTTCTTAATTGTCGCGCCTGAAATCTTATATATGTAAAAGATAGGGCGAAAAAAAGAAAATAAAAATAAAAAAGTTTTATATATATATACGCTCACACGCACACGCACACGCACACACACACACAAGTATTGTGAAATCAAATGTGTTAGATATTATGTTGACGACATTGAACTGATGTACAACTTTGTAATGTTTTTTTTTTTTTTTTTTTTTTTTTTAAAATTTAAATAAATTCAAATTGAGTAAAAATAAAATAATTTACGCACAAGTCATTGAAACAGTAGCAAGAATTTTAAACCTAAAAAAAACCTAAAAAAAAAAACGGACATAAAATAAAAAAAAAAAAAAAAAAATTTATTTATTTATTTATTTAGCACACAAAGATATAAATTTTAATTTTTTTTTTTTTTTTTTA